ATTCCTTCCTTCCTTTCTTTCTTTCTTTCTTTCTTTCTTTCTTTCTTTCTTTCTTTCTTTCTTTCTTTCTTGCCAGTAGTGATTATCTGTGTTATAGACAAGCTAGGTAAATGATGTACTATTGCACTCTTTACGAATAGTGGGTTCACAGATCTGAGGTGTAGAAGAAATTCAAAGATTAAGTGATCGTTTTCTAAAAATTGGATTAGAAAACTATTTCTTCAGGTTCAAGGCATCTGAACAGTAAGTTAAAAAGACCAAGAGAATCAGAAATCCCAAGCAATTGAACTTTGGGTCATTTAACTCAAGATAGCTAAGTGCTGTGACTTTGAATGAGAGTTTCACTTTGTAGCATTTCCCTGCCTTTTCTCATATATGGAGACTTGGTCTTTTAAATATTGATATTCAAGGTGTTACATCTTAATTTTGAATTAATACAGGAAAGGGACATTTCTATAGAATCGTATTAAATGTAAAAACAGCATGTAAAATGTATTTACCTTCTATAATCTGGAATTATGCATTTTAGGTGTGTTTTGGGTCATATTATGGTCCATGTGGAATGTCAGAGTTCTTTCATTTGCATTAAATTTGAATTATTTATAGTAACAATTTCTAATTCTATGTCTCTTTAAAAGACCAAGCATTCACAAAGGTATGATGCTTGTTAGACCTATGTAAATATTTATAATTTCCCAGGAAGCCGTGAGATGTCCAATCTGTCATCTACTCCTGAAGGTGACACCTTCTCCACTGTGGCACCCAGCTCCCACGCCTTCACTCCTTCTCAGAACAGTGTCTTTGAATCAAGGTTATGCCTCAGTCACCACTCATATCCCTAAACCAGTAGCTAGACTGTTTTTCAGTGTAGTGATAAATTATTTTATTTTATGCTCATGAATGAAGTTTTTGCTGCCAGTATCCATGTGTACCAGTTTTTGCCTAGTACCCACAGAGGCCAGAAAAGGACAGCTTATCCTCTGGAAAGGAAATCACAGACAGTCGTGAAACACTATGGATGCTGGGGACCAAACTCAGTTCTTTGCAAAAGCAGCTAGTGTTGTTCATTGATAAGCTATATTTTCAGCTCCAACAAATAAATTGTTAGTCACCAAGTGTATGTGTGTATGTATGTGTGCATGTGCATGCATGTGTGTGCATGCATATGTGTGTGTGCATGCATATGTGTGTGTGTGTGTGTGTGTGTGTGCATGTATTCCCAAGTGTTTTGAGGCTGAAGTCAGCATCAGTTGCTTTTCTGAATGGCTTTCTGTTTGGTTTTTGAGATAAGGTCTCTCATTGAATTTGGATCTCATCTATTCGGCTTGATTAGCTGGCCAGGAAGCCCCAGGATCCTCCTCACTCGGCTTCCCCAGTACTGAGATCGTAGGTGTGCAGAGCTGTGTCTAGATTTTCACATAGGTGCTAAGGCTTCAATCTCAGGTCTTCATACTGTGCGGCAAACATTTTATCGATGGAGCTACCTCCTGATCCTCACCAATAATTTTTTCTAAAAGGATGTTATAGAATATTGCTATACAGAATGCATCCTCAGATCTGATGGATCTACAAGAACGGTGCCCATTGCTGAGATAGTGCAGACATTGTTCGGCCTTGTGCATAATTGACTCATTGGCTGGAGTAGGTCTTATGGGAACTGATAGAGAAGCCTGTATCCCTTCTGCAGGTCATCTGTGTCTGTGTCGGAGGAAAGGCTGAGTACTATGAGACTCCTGTTCGGGTTTCTTTCCATGTGACTTCTTCTGATTCTCCCATGTGGCATAGAAGCTTCTGGCTTGTCCTTCAGGCTCTACTGAACTTGAGCTTCAAACCCCATTCTGACATTCTTCTTTTCCCTTGCACTTTAGTGTTTTTTCTATCTCCTAATCCTTCTTTCTCAGACTTGACACCAGTTCATTTCTTCTGTCTGTCCCAAACCTGAGGTATGGCTACATCTTCTCCTGTATCCAGACAAGGAGACTTTTCCTAGCCCTAACATGACACACGACCATAACCTGAAAAAAAAAAAATCCAGGAAGGATGGGACTGAAATGTCAACAGGAAGTGATCCTGTAGAGAAACATATTGGTGTGAGTTAGTTGAAAAGACTTATACTCAGTGAAAAGAGAGTTCAGCAAGGAGCCCCGGGATTTAAGAAAGGACCTTCACCAGGGGAATTCCTGGGAAGGACACAAAAAGGGTAGAAAAACAGCCTTTCAAAAAAAAAAAATAGTTGGAGGACCTGACAGGCATCTCAATGGCTGTCTTGCAAGTTGGCTGTGACTCTGAGGACCTGCATGAAGCATTTGCTTGCTTTGTGCTTTCCTTCTTTCCTTTGTGAGTCTCTAGCAGGTCCTGGCTGCCATCCTTGACTTTAATGCACAATTTGCTTTCATAAGTAGGAAGAAAAAAAATCTTATTATTGCAAAGAATCAATGAAAAGGAATGAAATTAAATAAGTAATGCACTAGAATTATGTCTAGATTTTTTTATTTGTAGCATGAGGTTATCAAAGATTGTTTCTAAAATTGTCTTGTAAATCTCTTTTGAATCCCAGGTATTGCAATTTCAGATGAACTTGATAAGGTAAGTTGAGTTCTGTATCTAATGACCAAATATAGAACTTATGTTTGAATCTAGATCTAAATTATTTTTTCGGAAATATAAAGCATGTTCCAATATGTTTATTTAAAGTGAATATTTTAGTACTTAATGAAAAATATTGCAATAAATATTTATCATCTACAAAATTTGCTTAGACTAACTAGAATCATCAAATCATTATATGAAAATGAAAAATTCATAATACTATGAATATTATTAGAATTTGGCCATATTTAAGATGATGATTATGATGATGATGATAATGATTGTCACCATGTTGATGATGATTCTTGTGATGATGGTGATGATGTTGGTGGTGATAATGGTGATAACCATAGTGATGGTGGTGATAATGATGATGGTAATGAGTGATGGTAGTCATGGCGATGGCAATGTTGACGCTGGTGATGTTGGTAGTAACCACAGCGATGATGGCAATGGTGAGGATGGCAACCATGATGATAATTTTATGGTAGGAACTTGACATTTTCTATCTATGCCCTTCTTCATTAGCAATTGTTGACTTGATTTAACTTTTCAAGATGCCAAGAATGTTGTGACGATGGGCTGAACTGTGGTGATCCTTGTCAGGGTGGTGAAAGCAGTATGGACAGGAATACACATATCAAACACATATTTCAGCAGTGACCCCTGCTGAACTCTTCACTGGCTTTGTTTCACCACCCCCCTTCCCGTGCTCTGAGTGGTGGTGGTACTGCTGTACCTTTTCTGCTGCTATCAGGAACCTTTCCTTAAACTTAAAAGACTTTGGCTCTCAGTGGGTGATTGTGAGCTGCCCTGCCGCGAACTCAGGGGCCTCCCACAGCCCATCCTTCTCCACACACTTTCTTCCCAGTGCTGGGCTGGGGGAGGGGGTGCCTGGAGTCCAATTCTCAAATCTGCATGACAACGCTTGTTTTTTGTTGGTTTGTCTAATCTGTATATGAAAACGTTGTGGAAATGTATTTCCTTCATTTCAGCGGTGGAAGACAGCAACAATTGTCATAGGTAACTTACCTTTTCGAAAAGATATTTATGTCAGCGAACAAAAACTTGATGCCACTCATATTTGATATTCAAGGGCAGGAAAGGCTCCCAGGGCTTTCTTGAAGACCTGAGTTCTGTGCCAGCCAACTGTTGCATCATATTAAAGAGCCTGTCCCACAGCACCCCCTTGTGGCCATACAGCTCACAATCCTGAATTTTTCTGACCAAAAAAATACCAGGTACCTGTAAATACAATACTTTTTTTTTTTTATTCAATTTTGGAGTAGTTCCTTTTCTAGAGGGAGAATTTGTAATATAATCATTAACATTTCTCCCTTCCCTTCCTCAAATCCCTCCCATCCCCACTCTGTGGCCTCTTTTTTCTTTAATGTCATCATATGTGTGTATGTATATGTATAAATATATATATATATTCCAAAATATAACCTGTTCAGTCTTATGATGTTACTTGTATGCCTTTTAGGATTGACAGCCAATTGCTGTGCTCTGTGATTTTGTTGGCTTGGTCCCTTTGTCTTCAGTGTAATAATAAAAACACACACAGCCTTTTACTGTCAATCCCACAACTTTGATGTTCCACTAGAGATACATTTTTGTCTCTTTATAAAATACTCAGTTTTACTATCCCATGCCAATGGAGCTATTATTTTGACTCCATCATTTTCTCTGTGACCTTTAAAGTTCGTGAATTCTGAGAAGTGATTTTTTTTTTCCAAAGAACCGTGTGAATCCCATCATTCTCTACTCTCCAGCTGCTTTCCTTCCCTTCCTGTGCGGATCACTGGATTTCAGTGGTGCTGAAACATTGCAGCAGCACAAATCCATCATCCCGCTCTTCTCTACTGTGGAGACTGATATCAGCTCGGGCCTTGCATCAGCATCTCTGACTGCAGGTGCTAGGTCACCCCTCTTTCCTGCTTTCTCCTGTGCAGGTCGCCGGTGCTCCTCAGTGTGAGGTCCCTAGGAAGATCTCTACAACTGACATGTCGCCCTCTCTAACTTCAGCCGGGTCATGCTAGGTTGGAGTTGCCCAGGGATCTTTTCTATCCAAAGCCCTTAACTTCCTCTCCCCTGTTCTTCTTGTCATGTACTGTAATGTGCTCATAAGTTTTGAGGGGTAGGAACTAGATGTCATTGAGAAGTCACTATCCTGCCCCCACAGCCGTTCTTTGAGTACAGATGGCAGGTCTAGCTGCCTACTTTCCTATTCAATTAATATATAATTTATTGAGTAAAAAACTTTCCAAGTATCTTGGAAACCCTTACAATGCCACATGGTAGACAGAACTGTCTGGGATGGCCCTCAGTTACGCTTGGCTGAAAATAATTTCTGAGAAATTGCTTCACTTCAGGAGTGTTCTATGTGATCTGAATACATATCTATCTGTCTTTCTGTCCTTCTACTGAGTCTCACCTGGCAGAGGATGGCTTTGAACTCATTCCCTTAGGCTGTGTATGACCTTGACCTTGCTCCTCCCACATCCTGTGTTCCTAGTGATTAGAATACAGGTGGTAAGTGTCACCTAGTCTAGTTTGTGTGTTCTGGGACGAGACCCAGGGCTTCCCTCATGCCATCAAGCACTCTAACACCTAATCTGTAGGTCTTCTAGCTTCTTTCTTTCCCTGCATCCCTCACTTTTTTGTACAGGCTGCCCCCATCCCTTGGCAGATCCCTTCAGCTGACTGCTTTCTCAGTGTCTGATATTCGGACACTCTACCTAAGACAAGTCAGCAGAGGAAATTCACTTAGGCAGAATCCTGCTGGAAGTTTTTCTCAGAACTTCTGCTACCTGACAAAATTAAGACCATATTTCTAAGACTAGAATTAAGCTTCCATCTTATGTCTCACATCTGTGCTTCAGGCTTAATTTTCCTTTTTGCTAGTCAGATACTGTGATGTACACAGCAAGGCCTAGGGTAGCAAGGCAGCAAGGCAGCACTTGTCAGTGGTTTTATTTCTTTTCAGGTCTTTGACCATCCTTCTAATTCCAGCATTCCTAGGTCACCTTGAAGACATGATTGTTTCTTAGAGAACACAGTGACTTCATGAAAATGGCCCTTCTTGTCGGACACCATGGTATTTGTGTTGTGCTATCAAAAAAGAGGCCTGGTATTGTGGGAAATTCCCCATATCATCCTTAAATTGATTCTTGGAGACTTTCATTTCATAAATATGTACCACATCCTTCCTGCCCTGCCAGGAATTATTTAAAGATGCTGGTTCATTGTCCCTCATGTAGATGACAACCATTAAAAGATGACATGAATTTCCCAAGAAAATAGTTTTATATGCATAGCTAAAGTATCAAAAATATGAAATATTTCAAAGTATGTATGAGGGATCATTTCAAAGAGAGGAAAACACAGACCCCCATAGAAGTGTGGTGTCCAGTTTCTGTGCTTTCACACTGCACAGGAAGCTGTGTGACTCGGTGTCACTACCACTCATAGGATCAAAGTAAAAGGACAGGTTGAGGGATCAGTCCCCCTCCTTAGACCTAAGCGATCATCTTTCATCTCCTTTGTTGTATTATGCATTCAAAAATATTCTCAAAAATAACCTTACACTTCTTAAAACAAAGAATGCAGTCATGGAGGTAAAAGAGTTGCTTGTGGTGTGTGAGAAAACTTAAGAAATCACACTGCTGGACAGAGGGTGCCTGATAACACAGAACAAACAACTGTGTTAAAGCCAGGCAAGTGATGTGAATTGATGCAGAATGTCCCTGGCCACTGGAAAACCCCAAAGCAAAGTCATGGCAGTGTTCACTGCCATGCGAAGCATCAGGATTGTAGCTACTACAGAAGAACAAGGAAACAGAAAATAGCAAGTGTTGAGTGTTGGTACGGATGTGGAGAATGTGGGACTGTGTACATCATTGTTGGTGGGGATATGACATAGAACAGCAACTATGGAAAACGGCATACAGTGCCTTCAGTAATTAAAAGTAAAATTTCCATGTGCCAGAGTTTGGGTGGGAATATAAAAACCAAACAGCCACTATGGAAAACAGATGGGCAGTTCTTCAAGTGGTTGAAAATCAGCTCACCATATGCTGTGGTTTTAACATTGTGTCCTCTGAAAATTCACAGTGAAACTTCATACTCACAGTGTTAAACCTCATAGTATTAAGTGGCAAAGGTTTTCAAGTGACTGGGTCATGAGGTGCCAATCACAGACATTAGTTTCCTGTGAAGGATTCGCGGAGCCTGCTTGGCCATTCCTCTGTCCTCTCCCATGTGAAGACAAGGTACTCTGCCTGTAACGCTGGAGCAAAACTCACCATCATGCAATAGAGAATGGGGCTTTATAGGAGATGTTGGGAAGTTTGATCTCAGAGACCCAGCCTCTGGAGTGGTGAGAAATAAATTTCTATTATTTTTATGTGATGTGGGAGTGTCATATATCAATCTGTTGATTTCATTGGTTAATTAAATAAGGAGACTGCTTGCCCTGATAGGTTGGGACATAGGTGGGAGGAGTAAACAGGAGGAAGAGGAAGTGAGGTAAGACTCCTCAGACAGACGCGAGATAGCTCTGCTCTCAGAGACACACGCGATGAAGCTCCGACTCAGGATGGACGTAGGCTAGAATCTTCCTGGTAAGCGCACCTTGGGGTGCTTACACACATTATTAGAAATGGGCTAGTCCAGGTGCGAGTTAGCAGAGAAGAGGCTAGATATAATGGGCAAGTAGTGTTTAAAAGAATACAATTTGTGTGTTGTTATTTCGGGCATGAGCTAGCAGGGGACGCAGCCCCACCACTCCTATTTCAACATTTATGTTACCTAGTTTAAAATATTTTACTGCACAAGTAGATAGGAGTTAAGATGGCGCGTGATAAGGAAACCCCAGCTATAAATACACATCTAAAAGAAGTAAGGCAAGATCTGTGAGAGGCACTACCATATCCTGTTCCCAGTGGTGTTGTTCACCAGGACATGAGAACAACACAGATGCTCACCAGTGGGGA